AAAACATGGTATGAATTCACTCATAAATAGATTTTACACATAGAGCAAAGGATTGCCAGCTTATAATCCACACCACCAGAGAAGCTAGGCAACAGGAGGACTCTAAAAGAGACATACATGGTCTCCCAGAGAAGGGGAAAGGTACAAGATCTCCTGAACAAATTGGGAGCATGGGGGGAGGGGAGAGGGAGCTAGGAGAGTGAGAAGTGGAGAAGAGGGGTGAGGAGGACATAATGGAGCTGGAAGCTTGTGTAGGGTGAAGAATAGAAGAGAGTGAAATAAGAGATACCACCAAAGAGGGAGCCAGTATAGGGAGGCTTAAAGAAAAATCAGGCACTAGGGAAATGTCCAGAGATCTACAAGGATGACACCAACTAACCATCTAAGCAACAGTGGAGAGGCTATCTTAAATACCCTCCCCTGATAACGAGATTGACAGCTAACTTATATGCCATCCTAGAGCCTTCATCCAGCAGCTGATGGAAGTAGAAGCAGATACCCACAGCTAAAAACTGAACCGAACTGGAATCCAGTTGCAGAGAAGGGGGAGTGATGAGCCAAGGGGTCAAGACCAGGCTGGTGAAACCCACAGAAACAGCTGACCTGAATACGGGGGAGCTCATGGGCCACAGACTGATCACTGGGAAACCAGCATGGAACTGATCCAGACCCCATGAATGTGGGTGTCAGTGAGGAGGCCTCAGAAATCTATGGGGCCTTTTGTAGTAGATCACTACTTATCCCTAGCATAGGAATGGACTTTGGGAGCCCATTTCACATAGAGGTATACTCCCTCAGCCTAGACACATGGGGGAGGGCCTAGGCCCTATCCCAAAGAATATGACAGACTCTGAAGATTCCCCCAATGGAAGGCCTCACTCTCCCTCTGGGAGCAGAAATGGTATTGGGATAGGTAGGGTGTTAGTGGGGGGCAGGGGAGTAGGGGAGGGAGAGGAACCTGGGATTGACATGTAAAACAAATCTTGTTCCTCTGCAAACCAGGTTGGCCTCCTACCTCTGCCTACCTATGTTCCACCACCATTTTTTTGTTTGTTTTAGATTTAACATTTTCTTTGACTGACTGACATAATTCTTCTTTTTTGTTTGTTTTAGATTTAACATTTTCTTTGACTGACTGATATAATTCTTCTACTTTATCTGCAAGCCATGATATTTTCTCTTCCATTCGATCTATTCTATTGATTTCCCTGGATCTGGCCCTTTCCTCCAGCAGTCACAGTTATGCAGAGATGTACACAGGTATGAAGGATACAGACAGTTAATAAAACTCTAAATAAGCATTGGATGGAGGAGAGGTTTAATTACTTTGAAGTGGTCTTTATTAGTCTGGAAACTAAAAGAAATTTTAGATTATAGAATTTAGAAACAGCAGTTTATGCCTGTTATATAAAAAAGCAGAATAAATCTCACCATTTTCCTTATTATTTAATGATATCCTTGTACTGTTTACTTTTTAAGCGGTAAGAACAATATTCATAATAGGATATTTAGGATATAAAAATGTTGAAAGAAATAAAAAGGAGCTGGATGTGGTGTGCATACCTTTAATCCCAACATTTGGATCCCTGTGAGTTCAAGGCCAGCCTGGTTGACATAGTGAATTCCAGGTCAGCCAAAGCTACAGAAACTAAAACACTGAAGGGAAGGGAGGGAGAGAAGGACCAAAGGAGAGAGGGAGAGAGAGAGAGGGAGAGAGAGATAGATAGATAGATAGATAGATAGAGAGAGAGAATCTATATTTTACATGCTTGATATGTTAGGACAGATAATACAATAGCATCTAGAAACACCATATGACTTAAAGACAATGTGTTAAATGTAATTGTAGTCTTTTTGCTTTTTGGTAAGTGAAACTGTGGTGATTTGGGCCTGGAGAGTTGGCTTATCAGTTAAGAGCACTGGCTGCTTTTCCTGAATGTGGGTTTAATTTCTAGCAGCCACGTGGTGGCTCACAACCATCTATAACTCCAGTTTCAGGGGATAGCCCTAGGCATGGTCCTTTTCCTCATCATTTTAGTCAGCTATATTGTGTGCTGGGCACTAGATCTTACATGGCTAATCTTTGTAGTTCTAGAAGCTAGCAAAAATGCTAGTTCTAGAATCTAGTAAAAAGTAGTATTTGGTAGTGAATTATAAAGGGACTTATTTCACAGCAATATTTGTATAAATTTTCTGGAAGAGAAATTTTATTAGTTTGCTATGATTACAGATTTTAAGAGCTATGCAGTTATAAGTAGAGTTAGAATATAGAGTCTGAAGTCCTGATCATGGTTATAAAGAGACTATTTTATATATTTGTTGTTATTATTTAATTTTATTTAATTTAATTTCCAACACATAAGGGCTCCCATGAAGAGTCAAGAAAGTCTGGCACATTAAGTTGGGTCAGGACCAAGCCCTTCCCCCTGCGTTAAGGCTGAGCATGGCGTCCCACCATAGGGAATGGGCTGGCACCCCTCCCTAAAAAACGGTCTCCAATAAGTTAGCTCATATACCAGGTTTGTATCATGGTCCTACTTCCAACTAGTCCAAGCTTCACAGCTATCTCCCACACACATAGGGCCCAATTCAGTTCCCTCCATAGTTGTAGGTCTAGACTTCATGATTTCTCTATCATGATCTTGACCTCCCTTGCCATGTATTACCTCTTTCCTCTCTGACTGGATTCCCAGAGCTTGGCCTGGTGCTTTGCTGTGAATCTCTGAATCTGTTTTTTTCCAAAGCTTTATGGATAAAAAGTTTAGTTGGGGTATTCTCCAGTCTGAATACAGGGGAAGGCCAGTTTAGGCACTCTCTCCACTATTGCTAGGAGTCTTAGCTGGGGTTATCCTTGTGGATTCTCGGGAATTTCCTTAGCACCAGGTTTCTTCCTAAACCCATAGTGGCTCTCTCTATCAAGGTTTCTCTTTCCTTGCTCTTCCTCTCCTTCCTCCCTCCCCCACAACCATACCATTCCCTCCTGTTCTCATCCCCCATCGCTCTTTATTGGTCCCCTCACCCCCAGTTTATACAGGAGAGCTCATGTAATTCCTAAAAGGGACTATATTAAGGTGACTAGATTTGTGAATAGTATTGCTGTTGGTTGTACTATGCTATATATGTAGTCAGTTTTCACCAAAACCTTATAAATGAAATAAAATGATGTCTATTTCAAAAATAGAAAAAGCAGGATTCAATCCCAGGTATTTCTGCTATAAATGTCCATATTTAGCCAAAAGGCAATTTTATATTGACCTTGTTGATTTATTAACGAGATACATATTTTCTGACTCCATAGTAATATCTTCTAATGAAAATTTAGTGATACTTAATCCATTGCTTTGTTCACTGTAACTTTTCCATCAAAGTAAAAGTCCTGAATGTCTTACAAAATTGGTGCTTTTATGCCTAAGCAACGTCCAAAGCCTACAGGTAATTCGCTATTACCATTTTTCCTTGTCCTCCAAATCAGACAGTCATATTTTAAAAAGTTTCCCTACCTAAAAATCATCCAATTA